GGGGGACATCGTCCCAAGCTAAGCGGTCAAGCAAATTTTCCCATTTGTCCCCATTGGAAGTCGGTCGGTCATACTCTGTAGCTACACAACACAAAACTCTCCTCCCCTTCGAACAAAACACAAAACGGTTCATCGAGCAGAACTATCGAACGAGAAGACGGTCAATATACCTAAACCAGGGCACCACCAACGGATATACGCAGACCGGAAGAAGGAGGCAGCATTCTACAACTGGGAGAGAAGCGAGGGCAGACAAACAAGGGAAAAAGAAAAAGAGAGTGAAAAAAAAAAGCCGAAAACCAAAATTACACAATGGCACCATCTGCCAAAAGCCCCAACGCCACATCAAAGGCAAAACTCGCGGCAAGAGCACAGACGAGAAAGAAACAGGTGCAGCAATCCCAGAAGCGAGACCAGGACAAGGTCGCCAAGCGGGATGCGCGGCGCGGCGCGAGGCCAGGCCTGCTGCCGACAAGCGGCCCGAACAGAGCGCTGAGTAGGAAGAAGGCGCGCAAGGTCGAAAAGGCGCTTGCGCACGCTCTAAAGCGGAAAGCTGAGGCTGAGGGGGGTATGGTTACCGAGGGTTAGTTACTGGTGTTGCCCTGATACTTTTCTTTTTTTTTCTCCCTTCCCGTCTCACTGGATGATGGGTGAGTAGATGTGCTGACTGGAACATCATCAGGCGACGCGCCGGACGAAGATACAACAAATGCAAAGAAGGAAGGGAAAGGTCGGAAAGAGGAGCCGAAGGAAGAGATGGACGTTGATGATATTGCGTAGCGCCTGGACGAGTTGTAGGCGCATATTCCACATTCGTGCCGTCGGAGCATGGGCACATATACAACTTATACAAACCTACCGAAGAGACCTGCACAAGCAGAGGTCCTTCAGAGGGTGTCAGAGCTTGTACATATGCGGAAAAAAAGAGGGGTAACAGTATATTGCCTCTGGGATTATATGTGAGTATTTTCTTGCTCTCGTCGGCGGAGACTGGCAGATGGGCGGGCGGCTGACCTGAAGCGCAGTCCAGGACTCGGTGACGCAATGGCGTCGAATGCAAAACTACCTTACCTTAAGAATGCCCATACGGCCATTGGGCCATTACTTGACCATTTGGGTACACGTGCATTGAACCCGTCCCGCTCTTCACCGAGTATTCTTCACCGAGTATTCTTCACCGAGTATTCTTCACCGAGTATTCTTCACCGAGTATTCTTCACCGAGTATTCCCATCTCTGGCTCGTGTTCTATTTTCGGCCGGGGTCGAATATGAGGTCGAAGCGCAACCGAGTCATAAATCATACCTCAAGAGCCAGACGATTGATTGTTGGACTCGGACCTGTGGAATTTTCGGTCGACTCATGCACAGAGAGTCCGGACATATCTGACCGTGGAAAAAAAGAGATGGGTGTATTTACGGATAGCCACCAGCCAAGTCCATTAGTCAGTCGTTTAGAGGACCTGCATGGCTGGGCCAGTTATTAGCACACTGTCTTACTTTACCTAAGGTACCGTACTTCGTATTATTCATCGCGAAAGACACCATCAGACCCGGTGGTTTGGACCAACGGACATTGGTTGACGATAAGGAGCCGTGGTGTCGTGTCTAACGGTGGGAAGCGGTGGCGGGGAGTATGTACGTGTACGTCGTTTTCCCCGAGTCAACCATGGGCTTCGACATGATGATTCCACGTGGGACGAGGCCCGGGTCGTCCAGGTCCTGGTACCAAATGTAAGATATCCAGACGAGGAACCCCTCATGCCTTGTGCCTAGAGGCTAATGTAGGTACTATTGGGAGTAGAGAAGAAGAGCGAGTCAGGGCATGGTGAAGAGGGTGTGGAAGACGAGGTATTCCGCACTCTACCACTCCATGTATTTCGTACAGATACATCTCTCCTTCGTAAGGTACGTGGTACAGTGTAGGCTTTCGAATGTCGACCTTCCCAATCTGGCAGTGTGGTGGCGGTTGACACCCCGCAATGGGAGCCGGTGAAGTCAGACTGTGGCTGCATAAGTGGGGCTGTGGGACTGAGAGCCCGGTTATGTTATCTAATCCATGGTACGTACAACATACATCGGGCAGGGCAAGGGCGCGGGTTTCTGATCTCTCATGAACAAACATCCCCCTCGGCAAAAAAAAATCACTCTTCTCCCTCATACTACATACTTGACGCAACAACATCAACACATCACGATGTCACGGAGAGAAACCTTGGAACCACGTCAAGGCAGAGGCAGACACCCAGCCATCCATTGAGACTCTCGACCCGGGGTTCAACGCGGCTCTTTTCATCGACTCGTGGTCCGCCAAATGCGCCCCCCCTACACGACAAACTAGTGTAGAACCCGCGTCGGGTTCTACCGAGGAGCCCCTCCCTAGCCTCCCGACAAACTTCCACCCCCAGTCGCAGCAACGTCGGCCCCCAGCCCCAGCATAATGTTATCAACATTATCGAGCTTCCTAAACGAGAACCCAAGGCCGCCTTGCTCGGCCGATACCAGCAGGTCAAGATGCAGACGGTGAGAGACGGGTACAGGTTAGCCCAACCACCCCCCTCTTCTCTCTGGCTACCTTGACCTTACCGTCGGGTCATCTGTATCTGCTGCTTGTATGATTATGATTCGTGTAGGACGATGTAACGCTATTGCAGAAGGTGCATTGTGCGAAGCTTCAACAGCAAAGACTGGGGCTGGATCCACGTTAACGACTCGACTCGGTTGTCGCGTTGTCGCGTGCGTGCCTGCAACTGTGCCATGACACGCCTCGGACACCTCTCGCCAAGGATAGATCGGCAGGGCGAGAATACGTTGTATGTACGAATATGTACTCCATAGATTTTGGGGTTCCACCAATCCACCACCGCGTCTGTTCACATAAGATGCCCATCTCCGTCCTCGGTCATTTCTCTGCGCCTCTCTCCCCCTCTTTCTCCCCTCCTCCCCTCCTCCTTACCCTCTCCTTATTACCTTCTCCTTCCCCTCTCCTTCCGCTCTACCCTCTACCCTCTCTCTTCTCTGTACTCAAAGTCGCACCCCCCGGACCAAGCCGACTGAGTCGGTTGAAACCTCGATTGCTCTGAATCGAGACGAGACACCGGACTCCAACCATGAAGGCCCTCACTCTCTTCTCCTCCCTGGCTCTGCCCCTCCTGGGCGAGGCCTGCCTCCTCCCCGAGGAGCTGCTGGATGCCGTTCCCGCCCCCCATATGGTCCTCCCCCGCCAGACTGGTAACACCGGCCTCGGCGTCGGCCAGGGAGACCGCTTCGATGGCGGTTCCGTCGTGCCCCGCGGCCCCGGCTCCCAGGAGCACGGCACCGACATGGGCCTGCTCCTCAACGTGAAGGAGATCCACAGCGCCGTCCGGGCCCTCGTCGACGAGTACGGCATCGAGTACTTCGAGGCCCCCGACAAGACCTACGACGGCAACCCCATCTTCGGCGCCCGCGCCGGCGGCACCCCCGGCTGCGCCTCCAGCTACCACGTGTACTTCAACGCCGCCATCCACGCCCGCGAGCGCGGCTCGGCCGACAATATCGTCTACTTCATGGCCGACCTGCTCTACGCCAACAAGCACAACACCGGCCTGCGCTACGGCGGCCGCACCTACAGCAACTGCGACGTGCGTCGCGCCCTCGCCACCGGCATCGTCTTCACCCCGCTCGCCAACCCGGACGGCGTCGCCTGGGACCAGGAGACCAATACCTGCTGGCGCAAGAACCGCAACGCCACCAGCGCCATCGAGGGCAACCCGGCCTCGGTCGGCGTCGACCTGAACCGGAACTTCGACTTCCTCTACGATTACATAGAGAAGTTCCACCCGGACGTCGGCCCCAGCCTCGCATCCCAGAACCCGGCGGCCCAGACCTTCCAGGGCCTCTCGGCCTTCTCCGAGGCCGAGTCCCGCGCCATCAGGTGGGTCATGGACACCCACCCGTCGCTCGGCTGGTACATGGACATCCACAGCTACACCGGCGTGCTGCTCTACGCCTGGGGCAGCGACGAGAACCAGATCCGCAAGCCGTACATGAACTTCATGAACAGCACCTACGACAACGTCCGCGGCCTGCTGCCCGACGACCCGGACGCCGGCGACGTCTACGGCGAGTACATCCCCTCGCGCGACTGGGCCGACAAGGTCTACGCCGCCGAGCGCTCCAAGCTGGCCATGCACGCCGCCACCGGCCGCTACTACGACGCCTACCCGGCCGCCCTCCTCTACCCCACCTCCGGCGCCAGCGACGACTACGCCTACGCCCGCCACTTTGTCGACCCCGGCCTGTCCAAGATCCACGGCTACTGTCTGGAGTTTGGATTCGGCAACAGCCAGGTCCGCAGCTGCCCCTTCTACCCAAGCCCGCAGCAGTACCACCAGCACCTCCTCGAGACCGCCTCGGGCTTTATGGAGTTTCTCCTGGCCGCTTCCGAGATTGGCCTGGGGCCTGAGGGCACCTGTTAAGGGGTCGCGGAAGTGGATGTCACCAAGCTGTTGCATAAGGCGGGGTTTAGAAATTAGAAGGTGATGGACATGCGAGGGAGGGACATGTACAGCTGCCTCTTGAGTCCCAGATGTAGAAAGAAGTGTGTATGTATATGTAAAACCTAATACAACACGAAAACGTCGCACGTCGTTGACCTGTTCCTCTCGTCGCGGACCATACGCAGGGTACACTACAGTAGTGGCGTGTTGGGACGTGTTGGGACGTGTTGGAACGTGGGGTCAATCCAGACCACCAGGGACATACAACGTACCTATACTAAGGTACGTTATTAACCAACGACACAAGGCGAAAATGACTCTTCGTACAATGAAGCCCACGAATAGCCTTTTCTAATTACATTCCTTGGCAGTTGTCGAATTTACTCATCAGTCAAACGAGGGAACTATGCCAGGAAAACATTGTCCGATGAAGACTAGACGTTCAACGGCTCGCCAAAAAAGGACCGCGCCAAAACAACCGCACCACGCCAACGCGCCACCATGCCAACGATCTGCTAGACACCGGCTATCCAACTCCGTCAGGGGCTAAAATGCACCATAAATCCACGTGTATCCTTCTCGGACTACATTTACTATTCCACGATGTAGGAAGCCTTGCGACAGCTGCAGAACATTACCAAGTTCCAATACCGTACCCACCGACAGACCCCTACCTTAAGTAACACCACCTCCGAAGATCGAACCCCCCCGCAGTCACCATGTCGCATGACCTCCAAGACAAAGTCATCGTCATAACCGGCGCCGGCGGCGGCATGGGCCTCGCAACCTGCAAAATGCTCGCCGCGCGCGGCGCCAAGATCTCCATGTCCGGTCTCCGCCCGCAACCCCTCCAAGACCTCGCCGCCGAGATCGAAGCATCCGGCGGGCAGGCGATGGCGCAGCGCGTCGACGTGCGGGACGACGCGCAAGTCAACGACTGGATCGCGCAGACGGTGGCGCGGTTCGGGAAGCTCGACGGCGCCGTCAACCTCGCGGGGGCGATCCCGTCGAGTTTCTTTGCTGATACGGTCGAGAATCACGGGAACGGGACGTGGGAGCATATCATTGCGACGAATTTGACGGGGACCATGTACTGCATGCGCGCGCAGCTGAAGAATATGAGGGATGGCGGGAGTATCATTACCTGTGGGAGTACGGCCAGCGTCCAGGGCGAGCCTGGGTGCTCTGCTTATGTGGCGGCGAAGCATGGGGTTGTGGGCTTGACCAAGTCGGCGGCGAAGGAGGTTGGGCCGACGAGGAATATCCGGGTGAATTGCATTGCGCCGTGAGTTTCATTTCTTGCCCTGTTTATTGCGTCTTCTCAACACGCGATGCTAACGGGTCAACAGCGGCATGATTGATACGCCCATGTACCAAAAAGTGAAGGACGCGAATGGCGGCGAGCATGTGCCGTTCAGGCAGTGGATCAAGCGAGAGGGGACACCCGACGAAATCGCGTCGCTCGTCTGTTGGCTCCTGTGCGACGAGTCCAAGTACATTACGGGTACTGTACAGATAATTGATGGCGGATGGTGTGCTTGAAGACCGGCATGATTATCTGAAGAAGCGTACAACGTAAGGGCAAGGGTATTTCGAGGGCGTTGTTGACGCGTTGTTTATGGCGAGTTGGGTGCAAGTCAGAGCTACAGAGGTACAATCAGGACTAATTAGTAAGCATGTCATTACGTGGACAGCACTGAAGAAACAAAAGTAAGGTAATCCAAGGGTTCAGCCACTTATTAGCCACAGGGCGTATATATACACTTGGCTTTTACGACAGGACGCCACACAAATTGACCCGACCACATTGCAGTACCCCGTACACATGGCGACCGTCTTCACGTACCGGTATTCCCGAGTTGTCCTCCAGCCTTGCGCTGAAATGTCGAAGCTTCTGTTATTCTTTGGCGTCCTGGGAAATCTTGTGCGGAAGCATATGATATGTCGACGGCATCTTTAGTGTGACAGTGTCACCAAGAAACCTTAAAGTCAATAAACTTGGATTGTGGATATGGCTCTAATTCCCGTCCCGACTCCCACCCAGGCCCCTAGCTACTAGCTGGAAACTGCTACACAGGGGGTTAAGAGCTAGAGCAGTGCCTCCTCCTTTGGGGAGAGGGCTAGCGATTATTCTGACTCTTTGGGGACCACCTAGGTTCATACCAGTCATCACCACCGCTTAATCCACGCCTGTTCCTTGTTCGATCCTCTCGCTACTACCTTTCCCTCCTTGTGATTACCCACTTGACACTCCTTCGTTTACTAGACATTCAGTTCCTGCGCGTGCCAGAGCGACAGGCCCTATATTTACTAGGTGGCCCCGTGGGCTGGTACTGTGACCTGTCTCTCCTGCCTGCCTTATCTCTAGTTCTCCTCCTCGGGTACTGAGTCCAAAGACTAAGGCTGGTGCTACTCTCCTTCCCTGTTTACATTATTTATCGAAGTTTCCGAAAAGGATTAATACCTTATTGAGCATGTGAGTCTGACCCCTAGCATGAATGCCGCTATAGTCCGAGTATTGCCTCTGGAAGGTATGGCTGGTAAATGTATACGACAAACCGAAACCCAGAGCAAAAGGGTCAAAGTTACAACTAACAAGGCGTAGAAGATTAAGGCTCACGAGTCACGACTACAATCTACAGACTACGACCATGACGGTCACGCGCTTAAGGTATACGGATTACCATGGTTGTTCTATGTACCTGCCTTAGCCACAGGTGTTTCGAGGCTTCCTGCCACGGAAGCCACGGAGCTCACATTAAGATATACGTACGTCATTGTTCAAACAGAGTCAATATAAACTCAGGCAGTCACGCCCCCCTCAAGGTATAGAAGGTAAGTGCAGCCTTGGTACCTAAGTACTATCCCTTGGAATTATAAATATCTGCCTCCTCCGCCTACATCCAGTGTTCTTTTCCTTCTTCATTTCTCCCCGTCTTCTCTCTCTCTCTTACATATCCACACGCTGCGGCACGGATACACCCAGCATTAAGACTTCCCTCCCTCCCTCCCTCTCTCTCTCTCTCTCTCTCTCTCGTTTTCGGTTTTTCCAAGATGACTCACCCTGCCGATGCGTTCAAGAAGGCCGACATGACCGTCGACGAGTTCAAAGAGAGAATGCAGGAAGCCTGCGCCAACTATTTCGGCCCTGGTATCCGACATAGACGCTACGCCAACCTCCGAGTTCTTTGTGTTGCATGGGCAACTGACCTCGGTCCCTCGGGAGAGGAGGAAGGGGGATCACTTCACATTGGTCCGTCGAGAGACAGTGTCTACGATATCTTCGTCAATTCGTACAAATACACCGGGGAGGCACTGAATCTTCCATACGATGAAGCATCCGCCAATGCGTTGTTCCAGGATGCACTTTCCAGGCTTCTTAAAGACCTCGGTGAGGATGACTTGGCCATCCTTTACTACATCGGTCATGGAGTGAGCGCCGTTCTAGAGCAAGAACACGGTCTTCTCCTACACCCATCAATGGAGGCGTTCGGCGATCCCGTCCCGAAAGTTGATTTTCACGGCATCCGCACCAAGATGATCGACCCAGCTAAGACGCATGTCCTTATGCTTATGGATTGCTGCTGCGCCGCGGGAGGGGCACTTGGTATTGGAAAAGAACTCATTGCGGCGTCTGCTCACAACCAACCCGCGTACGGCGGTGATACCGGATTCACCTTTTCTCTCGTCCACCATCTTCAACTTGCTTTCAAGGAGAAGCATATATTGAGCACAGCCGAGTTGGTTTGCCGCCTGACAACGAGGGCCCTCCTCCCCTCCGATGGCCAGCCCAGGCTGGAGACTATGCCACACTTTCTTAGGTCTTATGAGGACGCGGAGACGAACAAGACCATCTACCTCACCCCCGACTTTCACCACGATGACTGGACACCGGGAGCCATCGAGCCGCTGTTCACCCATCCCGTCCAATTTAGACTCCGCGTCTACCTTGGCGACGCGAACGAGAGCACAGAGAGAGCCCTGAAGGCGTGGCTGCTCGAGAATCGCCCTCATAATGTTAAGCGGGTGGAGATCCAGGACATAGTCTCTTTTGTACGTGACTCGCCAAGAGATCTCGACTGATCCTAAAATATTAGGACCTCGCGGAGACTCCAGGGACACGGCGTAATAAGGACAAACATTCGGAATATTCTGGCTGGGTTACATTATAAGGTAGACAGAAAATCAATAAAATAAGTAAGGCATATTCTATTAGTTTCTTCACTATGGCTTTCTAATATACGGCCTTCCTTAACCTTCTAACTTTGTATACTAAATTATCATAGTAATTACTATGATAGCGATTAACCACGACAGCGACAACCACGTCAGCGACAACCACGTCAGCGGCCACTACGATAACAGCAACCAGGAGAAGTTTATCCGCCGCCTTTAATACTAGTCAAACAAGCGGGATATACACGACATGTAGATAATCCAATTATAGGAAGAACACGTAATAGAACTTGTTCGGATATGTATTTATTCCTGGTCCTGTAAAGTATTTACACGAAGGCCAAAATGATTTGCCAATTCCTTCACTGTGCCTGCGATATTCGTCGCAGTCTTCTCTTTTCGACGTGGTCGGCAGCTCGGGCGGGAGGGCTTGGGCTACACGGACCGATAATGCGTTTCAAGTGGAAGTCCCTATCACGCACTGCCTCACCCTTTTATAGATCCAGTGCTTAGAAAGCAGGGTTGGCGTTCTGGAGGAGCTGGACGAAGTACTCCTGGAACCACTCGCCGGCCTGGGGAGCGCCCTGCATGGACGAGGCGCTGGAGCACATGTGGTCGTAGCGGGGCGCGTTGGGGTCGCTGATACCGTCGCACTCACCACCGGGCTTGATCCAGACGAAGGCGTCGACGTCGGAGTGGCCGGTGTTGGCGGTGGGGCGCATGCCGAAGCCGGTGCCGAGGGCGTTGCACCAGTGGCCCCACTCCTGCTGGCCGGTGGGCTGACGGCCGGAACGGCCCTGGTCGACGATGAACTTGGCGTCGAAGCCACGCTCGCGGAGGAGGGGAGCGAAGGAGTTGACGTAGCCGCGCTCGTCGTAGACGGGGTTGGCTAGAGGGATCGTTCAGTCAGTTTGTTGTTTCGTTACTCGCAAGCACGGAGAGAGAAGAACATACGAGTAGTGTAAGGAGCAGGCGAGGTGGCATTCCAGGCGTTGTAGTTGGAAACGTTGAGGGCGAGACCGCGGACGGAGCGGGGGCGGCCGGCATCACGGTAGAGGTCGGCGAACAGAGTCGCGGCCGGGGTGATGTTGGCGGGCCAGCCGAGCCAGCCGGCGTGACCAGCGTCGAGGTACATGGCGACGTTGGGCAGGTCGAGCTGGGCAATGGCGTACAGAGTGCACTCGCGGTAGGCAGCGGCGGCACCCTGGCACTTGGGCACGTCCATGTTGGTGACCATGTTGGCGAGGGAGTCGGGCTCTGCAGGGGACGAGATTAGCCAGGGGACAGACAAATCAAAGAGGAGAAAGAAAAGGGGGTATCGAACTCACCAATGACGTAGATGATGCGAATGTCGCTGTACTTGAGGGTCACGGCGCGGATCTCGTCGATGTAGTTGCGGTACTTGTTGATGCCATCGTCATCGAGAGCGAACTCGCCGTTGGAGGCGGCGGCGGCGCAGTCACGGTCGGGAAGGTTGTAGACAACGATGATGGCGGCGTTGTTGCCACCGTTCTGGTTGGCCTCGCGGATCTCGCCGAGGGCCTCGTCGATCAGGGGGATCTTGTCCATCCGGTCACTGTATGCCACTTGTGTCAGTAGATGCCAACAAAGAATACCACATCGAAGGTGACAACTTACATCCACTGGAAGGTGGGGACATCGGCAACGCGGGCGGCGGCGGTGGCCATGGCACCGGTCAGAGACGGAACGGCAAGGTTCACAATCTCGGAACGGTAGAAGTTGTTGGCCCACTGGTTAACACCCTGGAAGGGGTTGCCAGTGTAAGTGGCGCTCGGAGGCGGGGTGACGGTGGAATCACCGCCAGTGGTGGTCGTGCTGCCGGGAGGAGGGGGAGGGGGAGGAGGCGGCGGAGGAGGAGGCGTCGATCCGGGCAGGCACTGGCTGTACCACGGGTTCTGCTCCTGGCAAGTGCTGTCAGAAGCGCAGCACGTAGGACCAGACCAGCCCTGACCACCGCATTGGCCCCAGAGAGAGGCGCAGTTCTGCCTCTCCTCGAGAGTGGGCGCAGCGAGGACAGCGGCGCTGAGAACAGCGCCGGCGAGGAGGAATCGTCCAGCCATTGTTGTCGTACTTGGAAGGGAAGTAGATTGACAGGCCTGGATGGGAGACTATCCGTGGAGGAGAGGAAAGAAAATCGAACTCTGGAACTGCGAACTTGGCCTGGTTCTTATATCACGATTTTCTGGGGCTCTGCAAGGGGAGAAGACGGGCATCCCCAGACCCCATATCCACCTTGGCCACCTCCCCCAACGCCAAGTCCAAGTTCATCGCGCCGCCGGAATGACGGGAAAGACGATAGATTGGGGCCAATAACACATGACATTGTTCGGGGCATTGACGGTTTCCCCTTTGCGGATAGCGGGGATTTCTTTTTTGGAACCAGTCAGTGCATTGGCAGGCGTGGCGGTAGGTGTGGCAATGCATCGAGGGCTACGGGAGTGATCCGATCAGCCGCGACAGGACAGCAAGGCAGCGATAGAGCGGGATAGAGGATAGAGGGACAAAGGGGGAGAGCAATGCATGAGATCCAAGGGTATAGGAACGTAGGAAGCGAGATCCGGCTGTTGCGCCGGCTCTTGTCCTCACGGAGCCGTGCGGGATGGGGCTGGCGGGCCAAAGGGACGTTATACGCTGTACGTAGTAGGTCATAGGGCACTGGGCTCCGTGTGCATGATAGGTAGCAAGGCGGAAAGCATCGTGGGCGAGAGGGAACCGTTGGGTGCTTGGGTGCACACAGCACACCAGACGGCGCCAGGACGATGAAGGGTGACATTGAACCAGGCGCTGGCCCGGCCACCCAAGAAGGGTCTAGTCTAGTCCGGCTAGACCTGTAGCACGCACTTGAATTGGCTCGGAGGTCTGGTGGCTCCGTTTTACCCGATCAGGAACGGGTTCATCGTATTAGTGGGATGGATGCATGGATTGCGGAGAACAAATGGAACA